GTGTTGTTTATGCACACAGAAAACCACTAATAATTGCACCAATAAAACCCAAAGTTGGCTGGGTAGATGTGCCTAAATATGTATATATCCAATTCAGACCACAACTAAAACTTGACGCATCCCAATAAGTTGATTCAGAAACATCGTTTAAATTTTTGTCAAAATACAAACATCCCCCCTTATTTTCAAACCCCTATCAACCACAAAACAAAACAACTCCGGACCTCAGATCAGAAGATAGAACTGATTCTCTGTGCATACCTGTGCATTTTTGTACATAGTCTTCACGAGAAAGCTTTAGCTGCATCTGACAAAGTGGACTCCAGACTATGAAAGCTTATGCCCAAATAAATTAGTTAGTCTTTAAGATACCACGGGACTCCTCGTTGTTTTTAATGAAACAAACTAACACAGTTATCCCTCTGAAATTTGTTGAGAAACTGCATGACCCCCCTCCCCATTGCTTTGGAGGCAGGGATTTCACATTTGGCAGAGAGGTTGCTGGTACCTGTGCTAGTACCTGCTCTGGTACCAGGAATGTGCTTCTTGCTCTGAAAATCCACCCAAATCTGGCCAAGTTATGAACCTCTGAAAAATCCCAGTTTGTACATGCTCAGTAGAGAGGCTTGCTGCAGGCTCTCAGCTAAAGTCACCGAAGCATTACTTACCCAGGGCTGTTGGGGTTGGACTTTTTTCTGTAATTGCTATTTGTGGATGCCAGGGATCAGTGTGGTGAGAAACTGAGTGTGCTAAATAGATACAGAAGGACACAGGTGGGACAGGAGAGGGTTAATAAGACGGGCCAAGAAGAAAGAAAATCTCAAGCAGAGGATGGGGATAGGAACCAGCTGTGAGTAGCACAGAGCATAATTGCAGAAAGTGCCACCGATAGTTATCTATGGAGGTTATGTGCTCGATAAGAATAGGTGCTGAGGGATGAGGTCTACAGAGACAGATTGTGGCAGAAACATCTCTAACAAACTATTCATTCATCAATAGAACCAGGAGTCTTCAGTCTCAACACTTTTATGCTGATAGTGTCCCAGGCATCTGTGTGGTGTCTGGTCCACATAGAACAGAATAGACTGTTCTGTGTGATGCTAGTAGCTCAAGTGACAAAGGTCTGTGCACAGGAACTGGATGTCTGACCTCTGCCGATGTTCCAAGCCGAGGGCTAGTGTGGTGCCCACATGACAGCTCCACATGACAGTTTGTTCTGATTGCTTTTTAAAAATCTTAGGGAATTATATCATAGACTCACCAACAAACTAAGCCAATGACAAAAAATGCTAAGGTTGCAAAATTCCTATCAGATGCTTAGCAGATCACACAAATGAAAAATAAACTGTCCCTTAATTGTGTGTTTCTCATGTTCTGAATTGTAAAAGACTGAGATTTACAGAGGAGCTGGACACTCACATTTGCAGCTGCATTTTAAACATACAAAGTGCTATTACATGACAAGTAAGTAACTCAGTGTTGTAATTTGGTCACTGAAAATTAGTTGGATGAGTGACAGGCTTTAATTTCTCCATCCCTAAATTTAGCATTAATTCTTCTCACAGGAATGCTGTGTAAGTGCCTTTATTAATGTTGGTGAATCATTCAAATACTATGTCTAGAGAATCATAGGAACACCCAGGAGGAAATTAAATAGCTCTGCAGTCAGGGGAGGGTTTGGATGGTGTATAGTAAACAAGGCCTGAGGACTATACATGAAAGATGAGAATAAAAATCTAGCTACCCTTTATGGCACGCCATGCATACTTTGTACTAAATGAGGCACCTGCTTTTGTGGAAAAACTTGCCAGCTGTCTATACTGGCCGCTTGAATTTCCACAAGAACAGAAATCAGTGCTTCTTGCGGAAATACTATGCTGCTCCCGTTTGGGCAAAAGTCCTTTTCCGCAAAAGCTTTTGCGCAAAAGGGCCAGTGTAGACAGCTCAGTTTTGTTTTGCGCAAAAAAGCCCTGATTGCGAAAATGGCCATCGGGGCTTTTTTGCGCAAAAGCGCATCTAGATTGGCCACCGACGCTTTTCCGCCAAATGCATCTAGATTGGCACGGATGCTTTTCCGCAAAAAGTGCTTTTGCGGAAAAGCGTCTGTGCCAATCTAGATGCTCTTTTCCGCAAATGCTTTTAACGGAAAACTTTTCTGTTAAAAGCATTTGCGGAAAATCATGCCAGTCTAGACGTAGCCTTATTGTGGATTTATACATTGTATAAACATTTGCAGATATTCACAAAGTCAAGGTAGCAATTTCTACTATTCTTGAATTTCTCAACAATGAAATAATGTCCCTATTAGTCCCCAAATGTCTGTTGCTATGGATTTCTGGATCTCGGATTTCCAAAGTGTACCCTGGCCTGACATCATTGTACTTACAGATAACTTGCCGACCAGTAGCCCCATGTTTTCACAGAATAACAGTGTTTTACAGTCATGTTTCACCTCCTATTTTTCTTAACTTGGAATACTGCAACCCAGTTAGGGCTGGTAAGATGTTGCTATGTGGACATCTATGCTTCCTCAAACAGATGTGAAGACAATTCATCAAGTATTTATTAAATGAAAGGGCAGGAGCTCTGATCTTTCCAGAGGAAACTAGTTTGGGCAGAAGTCTGCAAAATGCCCTGGGGGAATGTCTTGAGAGGTTCTGGGAAAAGAACTGCCAGGGCAATGTGCACTGGTCCTGTAGAGAGAAAAGGGAGCAGGTCTGCCTGCTGATTCTGGTGGAGAGGGAAGGGCTGAAGTCTGGAGGTTTTTCCCTGAGAAGGAAGTTTTGGTTTTGGCTAATGGCTAGACCCACACACACAATGGGGAACCAGAGGCTGTGGTCAAAGCTGATGTCAGCAAGGGAAGCAGTATTGCCATCCCCAAGTATTCAAAAATCACAAATTAAAAAAAAGTAAGATTGACTAAAATATGAGATTTTAACCAAATAATATGTTTGAGTTCTTATTATATGTTCTGGTTTCTGAGGTGCTAGAAGGCTTTTATTTGCAATCACCAGAGCTAGAACCCCTTTTTTTTTAAAGAACATTGAGATTCTCTGATAATCACCTGACTCCAAGAGCTGGGGCTTTAAGAAAATCACAAACATTAGGTGTTTCAATAAAAAATAATATGAGTTGGTAATACTGAGCAAGCATATTCTCCCATGATGATGAAGTAACCTTTTGAAGTGTACGAATTTTAAAAGTGATCTCCTATTATCAATATGATTATATACTGAGTTTAAAAGGAAACAATTGAATCCTCAATATAAAACTACTATGTTAAAATATAAAGATGATGCAGTGAGAGGAATAATGCCTGCAGCTATTATTTATAACACCCTAAAATGCTGTTTTCATTGTTCTAAGTTTCCCATCACAGGAAGCCTTTCTAATTACCTGGCTGAAGCAATGATTGATTGTGGAAACCAACACTTAAAGCAGTAAACTAATGACTAATGATATGAGTGCTGAGAGGTCATTAGTTTGTGTAAAAGGGAGAACAAAATACAGGTGTCAGAGAAATGAATAAATAGAGCAGGGGTTTAAGACTGGAGGAATAATCATTATTGCAACATTTCCTTTCATTAATTAAACATAAAACAACAGATAAATAGATAATAAGCCATATTTATGAAAGCCACAATGTATCAAGTTTTAAAACAGTTAAGATTACAGTTTTGTTGTTACTTGAATTATATGGAGATTATATTTCAGAATAAAGCTGGCAGAGTTATGGTGGTTTCCACCACTTGGAGATTTGTGTTGTTTTCTCTAGATAGCTTAGGACCAGTTTAGTGATGTACTTAAGCATTGTGCCTAACTAGACATATAAGTAGTCCTACTGAAAACAATGAGATTACTGATGTGCTTAGTGAGGTGCATACTTAAGTACCTTTCTGAACTGAGGCCCAAAGCATTTAAGCATGTGCTTAAGTCGATCCTTACTCAGCATAGCACTCAAACACACTAACTGTGGCAAATGCTCAAGCCAAAAGGATAGACTTGCCTGTGGTTAAACAAGTATTTAATGCTTTGCTGACCAGGGATGGAATAACAGGTAGCTAAGAAGAATCTCGCCCCCTCTCCTGGGCTCAGTTATTCATGAAGCACATGGCCAGGCAAGCAGGCTGGCTGGGAAACATTTTAAGCTCTGCAGGCAGACAGGCTAGTTTGGCAACTGGTAAGTAAGTCTCTTGGCCACATCCTGCTTCTGGCACCCCATTCCTTTCCTGCCCCAACTCTCTGCCGCCCCTCCACTCAACATACCCAAACTCTCTGTCCCCCTTTACAGAACTGGCACCCCAATCTTTTGCCCCAGATCACAATACCTCCTACCCCAGGTCACATCCCAAACTCCTGCACTCCAGGCCCCTGCCCTAGGTCATAACCACCTCCTTCACCCAAACTCCCTCCCAGACTCCATTCTCCCTTCTCCACCCTAATCCTTTACCCCAAGCTCTCTTCTGCACCAAACTCCATCCCAGACACCGCATCTCCTCCATTAATTAAATGGATGAGTGCGGCCCTCGACCACTTTCCAAAATCTTGGAGTGGCCTCCCCCGTCAAAAATTATTGTCCACTCTGGGAATAGGGGAATGGGAGGAAAGTGTTATAAAATGTCGAAGTTTCAAAAACCAACCCCCCAATTTTTAATTTTGGTTAAATTAAAAAAATCAAAATGGCAAAATATAGCTGAAATCATTTCTGTGAAATTATTTCATTTTGTATTAAAAATATTTATTGTCTTAATAAAATGCTTTCAGCTCCATGGTCAGTGGTAGAGCCTTTAGTCACGTTGCTGAGCACTTACTCTCTCAAATAGCTCATTTGATTACAATAATACTCATGAGTGTTGCTCACCAATGTAGTAAAAGTTGCACAAAAGTAAACCTGTAATTAAAAGAAAATCCTGTTACTTTAAACTATATTTTTTCAGCTTTTTTACAATAAACAATGTATATAAAACAAAGGTAAGAGAAGAAACAAGTCGACATTTGTATTAAGAAACATTTTATTAACAAAACAGTAAATTCCACTTGCTTAGCATTTCCAATAATGGATAAATTGGCCTTGCAACAAATAAAAAATAATTGTAAATATCTATCACAGAAAGCACTATAAGGTTAGGGCATTGGACCTCTTTTTGATATCTGGGGGATGAATAATGTCACACATTATTTTAGTGTTTTGTTAAAAAAGGCAAAACTATACAGTAATAGAAATGAAGCCATGTCAGTCAAACACATTAGATTGTTATAGATATGGAATCCAATTTTTGTTAGGTAGTTTTAAAACATTTTAATTTACCTACTGAAACTTCTAATGCTCCAATACTTCCATGTGCCTTTATTGTTAAACAATGAAATCAAAGACAAAAAGAACTTCCAGAAACAGTGGTAGATAAAGTTTGCTTTTATCCATTTTATACCTTTTATTTCTTGATGTATTTATTCAGTTAAAATATTAAAGTACTGGCATGTCAGCTGCTTGAAAGATAGAATGGTTCCACCTAGGTTAACAAAGTCACTACCAACCTGAAAAGCAACCAAACCATCCTTCTCAGAACTGTTATGTACAGATTAGTTTTGCCCTTCATACCTTTCAGTGCTGAAAATCTCAGTTCTGAACATTACCTGGCATTCAACTTATTCCCCTCTCCCCCCTGCCCATCCCGTCTTCATTGACTGAGAAACTTATGATTTTAATATTGAAGTTGAATATACCTATTCCTTGTCTTCTCTAGAACACAGCTGACTTCCAAAGGTGGGGGAAGTAAAGAATGCCATAGGAGAACAATGATCTAAATTTTTTTAAATGGATTTTAGAAAAGCTGTGCAACCCTCATTTCCACTTTCTGCAAGCAATCATAAAAATAAAAATACAGTATGATGCACACCATAATTTGTTTGGCAAACACAGTGGCATTCTCAGATACATGTCCTCTCTGTCCAAGACTGATAGCTGTACCAATTCCCAATTTCTTCATAAGCTACAGTGAATAACACACAAGAAGATGTGTTGCCACTAATTTTAAAGCTAATTTTTTTTCTTGTCTGTAAAGTGTGAACATCTATATTCCTCCTAAGAGGCCTTCCAATTATTCAAAAGATTTCTATTGAACTACCCTCTCTGTCTAATGTATTCTCTTTGTATCTCTGTACAAGTGATATGTTAATTCTATGATTTATTGCTGTGAACCCAATGAAATAATGTTAATACAACATTAACGTAAAAATCGATAACATTATGATAATTAATATTTAACTAAAATGCATTCAATTTTATATATATGCAGAAAAAAGCAATTAAATGTTATCTTTAAAATATGATCACTGATCAACTTACATTTCATCACCTTGTTAGGGTATCATGTAATACTATAGAATCATCAACTGAGCTTAAAATACTTTCTCATATGACAAAATGCACACCTTTGAAAAATATTTAGCCAGATGGACCTCAACTGATCAATTAATTATATTAGGGAAAGGAAAATACTCAGTAGAAGTAATTTAAACTCTTTTTTAGGTCCATTTGGAATGCCATATAAATGTTGTATGATTCATCTTAAGATTCACAAGGAATTCAACATTTTTTATAGTTTCCTGGGGAGCCAGATTTCTGTAAAGTAAAATACACTATTCAGTGATGAAACCTTGATTGGAGACCAAGGTCACTTTAGCTTGCTAAATTATAGCTCATTCATAAATGCAGAACATTTATGGGAAAATCAACAATGCTGATTGACTTTATTGATGTACTTTGGGAACAGGACTGGGGACTAGAGGGGAGAGGAAAGTTACAATAGATATATATTTTTGCTTTCTAATCCACTTCTTTCATACAAACTACTATAACTGAATTGCAACAGAATAGAGGCTGTACAAGTAAGAAAAAAATTAGCTGACTCTTATATACATTCATACACATCCCCTTAGTATAATCATTCCACTGTAAATTTAAAAAGGAAGAAAATTGTGACAATTTATAGTGGCTGCAAAAAACTGAATTTATGTCTGTTGCTCCAGATGTCATAAAACTTTCTATATCTAGGAACACTTAGAACATTGAGTTTACCAAAAATGGCCGAAGAGCAGATATAGTTTGCATTTTCTATACAACAGGCTATAAAACATCACTTATCACAGTCCAGAAAGCACATATAGATGTGTTTTATATAAACATATGTAATAACATATTAAGCGTGCATGAAAATTTCCCAATGATTGCATCTATGCCCTCTTGTTTGTTTGCTTTTTGTGAAAATGTGCCTTATATTCGACATTTTTTGTTTTGTTTTTGAAAATAAGGCCTCCATACTATTTCCTCACAACCAGAAAGGGGCTTTTTGAAAATGTTTTATATAAGTCTTCAGAAAAGCCAGCACTTCATTTCAAATGCAAGTTTCAAATCACTATTTCACTGCACCAGATGGCAAACTATTTATGTTTGCTTGTTGAGTCACCATTATAATGACAGTCTTCTCTGGCAGTAAGACTAACTTACTTCTCAAGAAAGCGCTAGCACTTTGGCTAAATCCAGAATCATAGGTAGCTTCTTTTATTTTCTTTGTGTGTGTGAGAGATTTGTTTTATTTATTTTGTTTCATATTGTGCCTTGATGTTGTAGTAATACTCGATACTTTATGAATGCATGGTGTCATCATTGTCTTTCAGAAATGTTCCAGCAACATAAAGACAGGCAGAGTAAATGAAAACACTGTGGATGTTTAGAAATTTATTGACTCCTGTTTCTGAAAAACAAGAGCATGAAATGCTTGTTTTTAAAACAGTCTTTCCTTTCTAATTGCGTTCCCTGTCTTCTTTTATGTGCTTCATAAAAAGTAAAGTAAATAAGTTTGCATTATGTCTCAGATAAAATGAAGACTATTTCTATACAAGTGTTCTTTTAGATGTTGGGATCAGACATAGTATTCCTTATCCTTATTTTTCTTGTTCTTGCTGGAACTTTTAGCACTGTTGGGCTGCTTTTCCTTAATCACAGCCCCATTGGACTGTGCTGAGTTACTGATGTAGTTTCGACTCTCGTCTACATGGTATGAGCCTTCATCTCTGTTTCTGTACTTGTACATGGCATAAAGGAGGATTAGGATACACAGTGCTGCTGCTGCAACAATTCCAACCACCATGCCTGTTGTGCTGCTGGATTCTCGAATCACTTCAGCTGAGCCTGGGTATTCTCTTCCTCCCGCTCTGGTAGGATTTGCTGTAGGTAGATGATGAAAGAAGGGAGAGGTTATTCTTGAGTTTGCACGCTGCTAATTTTCACTCAGATCTACCTATTAGAGCCACGTATCTGTCCAACAGCACTCAGTAGTGCAGGCAAAGTAGTGACCTGTCAAATGTACAGTACCAGTGCCTCATGATCACTAAAAAGCACTGAAACACTGGGGTATAGATCCTGCCGCCAACTTCTCTTTCATGCCTATCAATTTGAATAAACAAGCTTTTAAAATAAACCATCTGAAAAGCTCAGATTAAACCTTAAAAACAATTTTCTTTTATTAGCCTTTATTTTACTGCAAGGAGGCTTTAAATGTTTCGAAATAACAGGTGCATCATGATGCTTGTGGGAAGATTCGTTTCAGAAACAACTCTCTTTAGTATGAGATTTACAGAAAATATTCTGCTTGCAAAAGATTTCACTAATAAACTAATCTGTGCATGCAAAAAAGGCTAGTTTGAAATTATAGGGCCATGCTCTCATCAGGAATGCTAAATATCTCACTATAGTCTCTGTCACAAACCGTCTCCCCACATCTCCACTCCCATCATTGGCTTCTGTTCTCCTTTCACATTAAGTCTCTAAGCCTTACTCTCTTTGACTGAATTAACCTCGTTATCTCTAGTCTTATTCTGGCATGCATATTTATACCTGCCTCTGGAAATTTCCACTACATGCATCTGACAAAGTTGGTTTTTGTCCACGAAAGCTTATGCTCCAATACATCTGTTAGTCTATAAGGTGCCACAGGACTCCTTGACGCTTTTGCTGATCCAGACTAATACAGCTACCCCTCTGATACTACTTTTCTCTCTTTCAAAGTACTGTGTAGTTCTGCCTTCCCTTCTTTAATGAATTCCTATATCCCCACTGTTCTGTATGCTCCAGTCAAAAATCTTTTTTTTCTGTTCATTTTTCCTCTTTCAAACTGCCTGTTATGGTTGAAACTGTCTCCCAACCAATGACAAGTAAGGGCCTTAGTTTTAAATACCCATCATTATTTCATGAAGCATTAAGCTGATAGATCCACCTCTGCTCTGCCTTATTGAGTTTTGATCTGATTTGTATTAACCTTGCGTAAACTCTTTTGGGTAATAACTTCAGCTTGTGTGGCTACACCACTGCTGTGCATATAACAATAACAGCAGTAATAAATAATGTATGTGGCATTTTGTGGTATAGCACCTATCAATGGTTTGTATATTTATTATTATGCTATTAGACTACATTATAGGTGATGTCATTTATTTATTTACTCATTCTAACTTCCTGAATGAGAGGAGGTAGGTTAACACACCTGGTGTGTCTGTGTGGGTGCTGACATATAAAGTGATCACCTTTTAAAACATACCAATTATGTCCTAAATAAAGGTGAGGTTACCTTGATTTTGCAGTATTCCCTATAATTATAGCAGTATTTTATACCCCAGAGGCTGAGGGAACATATCATTTACACTTCCGCTCTCAGCTGGTTCTAAGAGCAAGAAGAAAGGATACTAAAACGAGCCTAGATTTTCCACTGAGTAGAGTACTGTCGTTAGGCAAGTAGGCTGGTTCTTAAAAACTGCTTTTTAAATAATTATGCATGGCTAAAAATGCTGTCACTATAATATAAATGTTAACTAAAGTATTATTAAAAGCGCTAGTATGAGCATGCATGCATAATGCTATACGTATCAGGCCTTCCCTCAAACCAGCATTTTAGAAAAGTACATTCACTGTTGGCAAACCTTTTGCTGGAGGTTTACAAACCGACACTAGACCCTAAAGCCTTTTTTAACAATGTGCAATCAAGATATGAGACTCATTTAAAAAAAATGAATTAAGGGTAATGTCAGACAGATTATACACATTTGTAAGGTGATGACAACACGTTTTGACAACTAGAATGGAAAACAGCAACCAGTTCAGGGCATCTGAAATTGCTTTATGAAGATGGACAGACAGAAAGCAAAAGCCTTTTTTGTTTGGCATTACCCAAAAGTTATTCACTAATGGTTGTGTTTTTACTTTTAAAGCATCACTTCTTGGCAGTTACCCTATCTTAATATACATAAAAATATAAAAAATATTACATTACAGGATGACATTTTCTTAAGATGAAGGAACAGAGGCCACATACTAGAAAGCCTAAAAATAAGCTAACCTCTGAATACATGTTAATGATTGCCCATCAATGAGTAGTATTTGAACATAATTTTTCTGTAGAACTCCTTGACTTGTATGTTGGTACAGTTCTCTATCCTATGGCTACATATAATACTTAAACATTTTATTTCAAAACATCGTAAGACTTTATTATGTAGTGTGATAATTTTTCTCAGATAATATGCTTTCAAAGTATATGCCAACTTTTTAAGCAATTGGAGTCCATCTCAAAACAAAAATTTACTACAATAGGCTCCGCTTCTTCATTGTACCTACTATCATAGATTGAAATTCTTCTATCCTGAGTGTGTCACAAATTGTATTACAGGAGACAATGCACTGTCACTGAATAAAGACTTACGAGTATTTCCTTAGTGAACTAAAATGAGACAAAGGTTTATCTTATTGTATGTGATTTCATAAAAATAATTTCTGCTTGAAAAGAAATTGAAGCTACTGAATAAACTCTTGTCACTACCTGATGGACTAAAAACCTGTTCTTTGTCAGTACAGACATCTGTAACAAGTGCTGTCTATTAATTTCACTATTAAAGTCCACTAAATGAGATTTCACATCTCACTTACATAGGGAACCATTCTTTGATCACTGAAGCCTGAGGAAAACAAATAAAGCATATTATTTCAGTGTTGTCTAAACTAATTTTTTAAAAATATATTTTCATAGTTATCTCACTGCTCCTATATGTCAGAAGAAGACACAACAATGTAATGAACATTTCATTAAACTTACTATGCCTCTTTTGTCTGTTTTCTAATTTGAGATTAAAACAAGTTATTTTTGTTTTATTTATGATTTTGTAAAAAGAGTAACAGCTCCCAAGGAAGACATAGGGAGATAGAGCAATATCCATGGTAGGGATGTTAAATATTGATAAATTGACTAGTCAAGTAACCGCATGAATTCTTATCAGTTAGTCGACTATGCGGGGCCGGCAGCCATTGTTCTTGAGCCCCACTCCCGAGGAGCTCTCTGCAACTCTGCACTGCTGCTTCTGTATCAGAGGCAGCAGCATGGGGTGCCAGGAGGGAGCTGGTATGCAAGGGGAGCCAGTTTAAAAACTAGCTCCCCTTGCAGACTGGCTGCCTGTCGCTCTGTGCTGCTTCCTCTGATAGGGTATGTCTACACTACCCCGCTAGTTCGAACTAGCGGGGTAATGTATGCATACCGCACTTGCTAATGAAGCCCGGGATTTGAATTTCTCGGGCTTCATTAGCATAAGCGGGGAGCCGCCATTTTTAAATCCCCGCTGCTTCGAACCCCGTGCAGCGCAGCTACACAGGGCTCGAACTAGGTAGTTCGGACTAGGTTCCTAATCCGAACTACCGTTACTCCTCGTGAAATGAGGTGTACCGGTAGTTCGGAATAGGCTCCCCGCTTATGCTAATGAAGCCCGGGAAATTCAAATCCCGGGCTTCATTAGCAATATGGGTATGTCTACACTACCCTCCTAGTTCGAACTAGGAGGGTAGTGTAGACATACCCATAAAGAGGCAACAGCATGGGGTGGCAGTCACCCCTGTCTGGGGGTGGTGTCTGAGCTCCTGGATGCTGCTGGCCAGTCTGCTAAAAAATGTGCTGGTTGGGAAGTGGAGGGAAATGCATGTAGTCTATAGCACTAACCAATATGGGTATGTCTACACTACCCTCCTAGTTCGAACTAGGAGGGTAGTGTAGACATACCCATAAAGAGGCAACAGCATGGGGTGGCAGTCACCCCTGTCTGGGGGTGGTGTCTGAGCTCCTGGATGCTGCTGGCCAGTCTGCTAAAAAATGTGCTGGTTGGGAAGTGGAGGGAAATGCATGTAGTCTATAGCACTAACCAATAAGCTTTTGTGTATCGGTTAATCGACTACACTATTACATTCCTAGTCCATGAACAACCTTTGTCACTCTAAGCACTCTTGTTCTTCTGTGAAACTCCAAAATAAAGCCAGTAACCATGCAGACTCTTTGGATTTCAGATAATAAAAATAAAAGTCACAAATCTTAAAGAAATGAAAAAGTCAAACACAAAAACTGAAGCTGCCTTTATTGACTTTAGGATGCGTCAGCAAAGAGCAAAAGAACATAAAGTGTGGTATGATCTACACATATCATCCCAATGCCAGCAAATGCCAGCCCTCCCATCTTGCAATGATCCATTCTCAAAATAATTGACAAGATGTGTATATTGACTTTTCCTTATTAAAAGTTGTGCAGTTTTAGGATAAATTTCCTTTTCTACCATATCTTTGAGCAAAAGTCTCATACAAAACAATCACAGCTGGCTACAGTTCTACATTGTATCACTATGGATTAGAACATTTTTATAAGTCTTGGGTGTGCTTAAAATGGGTTTACATTTAAAGGGAAAATTTGACTATTTAAAATTGATTTTTTGCAGTGTCAAGTTTTCATTAATCCTGTGAAAGAAAATTGGAAATTAAGGGTTCCCTGGTGTTTGTGAATTTAAACTAGCCTGCATTTTAAAAAACAAAACAAACCAACCCCCTGTTTCCCTGATAGTCATGTTTTCACACAAACAGAGATTAGGAAATACAAGAGAAGACTATATAAATGCTACATCTGCACTGAAGCATGAAAGCAATTATTTACATGGCATGCAGCAATTTGTACTCCGTGTGTGTTTTTTATTCGAGAGCCACTATAAACTATTTTCAGGATATTCAAATTCTGGTGAGCAAGATTCACTGGGTTTATGAGCTCAATGCAGTTCACACATTAGACTGTCTCTTTAGAAGTTGTGTTTCTGAAAAAAAAACCATGCCCTTTCCTGTTGCACTCAAAGGGAAGAACAAGCATAAGCCTCTAA